GCCAGCCTGGTCTACAGAATGAGTTCCAGTACTGAACATAGCTACTGAGAAACCCTGTCTTGAAAAACCAAAACAACAACAACAATAATAACGAAACAAGAGCAGCTGCCTTGTAGCTATGTGATGCATACCCAATATGTATCAGTGAATAAATCCCAGCCTTTGCGGAGCTTGCGTTACGTTGGGGAAAGACTGAAAACACATATTACTTCACTCAAAGAGACAAGTGCTGAGGAAAACGGTATAACAGGAAAGGCGGGCAGAGACTTTTGAGCAGGTCATTGAAGTAGGTGACTTTCGGACAGAGACATCCAGATGAGAGGACACAGTTGTGCTTGTCTGGATGTTCCGAGCTGAGAGACAGCGCTGCAAACCTGTGGAGCACACAGACAGACAGCCGGGTGCTGGAGGAGCATAGCAAGGTGAGCACTGTGGCTGGAGTAAGTGTATGGGGCATTCAGAAATGGGAGACCTTAGCGACCACAAGAGAGGCTGCAGCTTCACTCTGAGGAGCCAAGGACTTGCTCTAAAGGACACCTAATGTATGTGGGTGACAACCACAGACAAATCACACGAACTATGTTAGATTATGAAGTTAGTGTTTTGGTCTAGAAATTAGGATTTTTTAAAAATATATATATACTTTGGTAAATCCTTTGGGTATATTAGGCTTGCACGCAATGTATACCAGTCACACCCTCCATCAGTCTCCCCCCGGACGCTAGCGAAGGTGAGTAGGTTTGGAGACCGGTAGACAGCACAGCGGTAGTAAGGATGAAGTTCTGTAAACACAAGCCGTGTTGGAGAAGGACAAGGCCACTAGATGGCAAGACAGCGCCAAGGACAAGTTCACACAGGCCTCTACTGTGTTTCCTCTGGGAGGTTTGGCCCTGACCACTTCTCTGTCGAGGTGTCAGGACTTCCACCACTCTGCTGTAGATACACAGGCGCAATCACGTGACTGTGTATGTGTGCGCGCAAGTACACAAACAGAATCCGCATTTTCTTTTTTTATACTTATTGAGATAGGGGAGGGGGGAGAGGACGAAGGAGAAAGAGAGAGCTGTGAGGTGATGAGATCAGAAGACAAGCTGTAGCCGTCATTTCTCTCCTTCCATGTGGGTACCAGGGGCTGAACTCGGGCAGGCAGGACACATGCCCTTACACACTGAGCCATCTCCCTGGTCCTAGAACCCATGTTTTAAAGTAGGTCATGGGCCAAATTATGTCTGCTCAGTTCAGTTCTACCCCTGGAAGTGCAGACTAGTGGGGAAAGGAGGGGGCAGGAGGCTGTAAGCTCATTAACATTCTTAGCTTAGCGTCCTTTGCAATTTCGGTCCTCCCAAAGTGTGGTGCTTTCAAACCATGACCTGAACCGCGCCGTTTTTCGGCACCGTCACCGTATTATCCTATCCGCTCCTAACTCTGCCGCTCTGGGCTTCCCAGAGGCTGCCTTCCCACTGGGTACCAACGACAAGGCTCTACCGTCCCAGGTCAAAGGGAAAGGGGGTGGAGCTTCAAGGTCGCACACAGAAGTTGAAGTAGGAAAGTAGAGTCCTAAAGTCTATACAATTCAGATTGACTTCTTTGTCTGTTACTTGGATTTGACTTTATTAGCCTACACTATCTGACTGACAAGGTTGGCTTCGGTTTGCACTTGGTAGGATAGTTTGCCACTTTACGTTCATTGCGTTCATAGCAAAAGGAGGGAAAGATGAGAGAATGAGGACCACAGGAGGAAGGGGAGCAGGCAGAGCCTCCACCCTGGCCGGGTGGGTGTTATGAAAATCCCAGCAGTGCCAGGTGGATCGGTGCCTGTGTTCCCTACAGGACAACAGCTGCTGCTTCCTCCAGCCTGCAGTGGGAGGGAGCACGGGGTGGGGAGAGGGAGGCTGAACTTGGAGGAGTGCCCACCCTCCGAGCCAAGCCTTTCTTCCGGAGTTCCACACAGCCTCTCGACACCACTGGAAAGCCCGTGGGAGAGTGTTTCCCTCCAGCCAGGAGCAGATCCAAGTTCTGTCAGCCTGATGTAGATCCTGGGTAAATAAGGGCAATAGGCTCGTTTTTATATTTGGAGAAAGTGAGACGCACAGCAAAGCTGGGGTCAGTTGTGGACTCTCTTCGGGTCTCTGGATTCCCATGACCTTTCCTGGAACAGCTGTGGGTTTGCAGGAGGCAGCCCTGACCGAAGGTTGGAATCCTTGGCTCCCAGACCTTTAGAGAAGCTGGGACTTAGGAGAGACGATCGGGTCTTAGGGTGAGGTTATCAGCTTGGTCGGTGCCCTAAGCCCTTTCCAGCGCCACAAGCCTTAGTTATATCCAGAATTAGTTCCTTGGCCGTACTCAAGTCTACCACTGTCTGGCAGGCCTGCCTCTCTAACTTTGTCTCTGACTTTTCTCCCACTTAGTGTCCTAGCCACGGGTAGACATGATTTTCGTAATATTTTTTTCATGCTTCTTAACTTCTAACAGCCCAGTGAGGCTGGTCCCAGGTTCTTAGGATAACCACCTCCCTCCTCAGGAAAACTTTTCATATCCTCCCAATTCAGAGATAATTTTGGTTTTGGTTTTGATTTTTTTTAATATTTATTTATTTATATTTTACATACATTGGTGTTTTTGCTGTGAGTGTTGGGTCTCCTGGAGCTAGAATTACAAACAGTTGTGAGCTGCCATGTGGTTGCTGGGAACTGAACCCGGGTCCTCTGGAAGAGCAGACAGTGCTCTTAACCACTGGGCCATCTCCCCAGCCCCCGATTTTTTTTTTTTTTTTGAGATGGAATTTAGTGTAACCTCGACTGGCTTGGAACTTGCTGTGTAGCTGATGATGGCCCTTGAACTCCTGATCTTCCTGCTTCAGCCTCCTAGTACTGGGGTTTCAAATGTGTTCCACTGCAACCAATGCTCAGGATCAAGCCTAAGACTGGAACACTCTGCCTACTGAGCTAATCTCCAGCTGCCAGTGATGAGGTCTTTCTCAGTCTGCATTCTATAATATCTACTGTCTTCAAGAATATGGTTTTGAGGGGCTGGAGAGATGGCTTAGCGGTTAAGAGCACTTGCTTCTCTTCCAGAGGACCTGAGTTCAGTTCCTAGTATCTACATCAGGGGACTTACAACTGCTTGTAACTCCAGCTCCAGGGGATTCTATGTCTCTGGCCTCCATGGAGACCTATGCACGCATGTGCACATACCTCTATACACACACACCTACACGTCATTTAAAAAATAACAAAAAGTTAACCTTAAAAAAAGAAAAGAAATTATGCCTGGAGTAGTGGCACATGCCTTTAATTCCGGCACTTGGAGGGAGAGGTAGGTGGATTTCTGAGTTCCAGGCCAATTTGATTTACATGAGTTCCAGGACAGCCAGAGCTACATATATAATAGAGGGACAATAACTCAAAGAACCTATATAAAACCATCATCATCATCATCATCATAATAATAATAATAATAATAAATCAAATTTCTGTCTGAATTTTGGTTATTTTTTCATACATATTTGTTATCTCTCTGACTATCAATCATCAGAAGCCTGGATTCATCCACTAACGTCCTCCCTGCAAGGCTCAGGACCATCGAGGAGGAGAGTAGATATACTATAGGAGATACTATCACAGCAGTTGGGAGGGAACGCCGTCTTCTGCACAGGACGGAGCTGCTGCTCTCGGTCACTCACAACAGTACCATCCTGCAACCTCAAGGACAGCCACGTGCCTCTGTGGGCTTGACCCTTACTTGTCTGAATTGTGTATAATTCTCAGGGGAGGTCTTCTAAGCTGAGAATTCTGTAGTGAGACCCCAGGACTGTCCTCATATGAACTCGTTGTGGAAGATCAGCAACATTCTGAGTAGAGGAGACAGCATGGGTACAGGTGTTGGACGCAGTACTAGACGGGAAGCTGGCAGGGATGTAAATAACAGACACGCACAAGTGCAAGATCCTGACAGTCTTGTGTCCTATGAGAAACTGACTGGATTCTATAGTGTAAGAAACAGGAAACTGATGTGAAGGGTTAAACAAAACAGGACATTTTAAGGTTTTATTTTTAATGTATACAAGTATTTTGCTTGGATGAATATATGTATATGACCTGTATCCCTGACGATGAGGCCAGAGCTGTTGCATCAGACCCCGAGGCCAGAACAGGAGTTGTGGTGGCTGTGAGCCACTGTGGGAGTGCTGAGAACTGACTTGGGTCCTCTTGCCCATTGAGCCGTCTCTCCAGCCCCATGAGAAGTAATTTCTTTTTTAGATGTCAAATGAAAGACAGTTGAGACTCAGTGGAATTGGAGCATGGCGTCCATGTGAAAGAAGAGACTGCGCTGGGAAAGGAGGCTCAGGAGGGACAGATTTGGGGGAGAGTTTTAAGTAAAGATCCTGAGGGCTACATGACTTGTGGATTCGTGTGCATTACTGAGTAGTCACAAGCCAGGCACTAGGCAAAAGCTCATGACTGACGTCGTAATGAGTTCTAACACACCATGAGGTAAAAGGTCCTATCCTTAGAAGCTTGGTAAACTCAGGCGATGGCATATGCCATATAAACTATGGAGCCAGACTTGAGTCTTGATTTTACCATCATGCCTTGCGGTTGATGGCGAGGGAGACAGGGAAGCCTATCCCTGAAGACTGAGGAAGTATATAAGATCAACTTGACAAACTCTGGAGTCACCTGGGAGATGGGATTCTGTGCACTTCTTTGGGGCACGATCTTGATTGCATTAATTGAGGTGGGAAAACCCAGTCTCTGTGGGCAGTACTGTTTCTTGGCTGGGGTCCTGGGCTGTATGAATGGAGAAGGGTGTTATCAGCAGCCAGTGTTCATTTATAGCTGCTTCCTGACTGGATTCTATGTGACCAGCTGCCTTGACTTCCCCACCCTGAAGGACTCTCCTTGATAAGTGAACCGGAATAAACCCTGCTCCCTGAAGCGGCTCTTGTCAAAGTTTCTTACCATAGCAACAGGGAAATAAAGGCAGAGACACAAGAGAGCTAAGTTTGAAGAGAACAGATTTAATTTTGGACTCTAGTTTGTGCAGCCGGGAAGAGCAAGTCCAGAGGATGCTGAAAATGAAGGACCACAGAGAGACACAAGGATGTTGCTCTCTGGGACCAACTTCTCCTTCCCCTGAGCTCCACAAGGAACCCCAGAGTACTGGGTCCTTCTGACTCCCTTCATGCTACTGCTGAAGGTGAAGAGGTTCTCCTGAGAGTAAGCCCAGGGCGCTGGGTGGGGGTGATACATGCCTGTGTTTCCAGCACTCAAGGGGCTGAGACAGAGGATAACCAATCTAAGACCAGCTTAGGCTACATAGTGAGACTCCCATCACCAAATAAAGCCCCAAAATGTGCAGATGTGCAGAAGACGTGCAGGGAGAAGAGGCTGTAATGTCTGTGGGAGACAGGGGCTAGAGCTAGCAGGTCCTTGGAGCTAGCTTCTTGACTCTGAAGAAGATTCAGACATCTGATAAGAAGCTGAGAGACTTGTTAGCCCTTTCCTCAGCAGGACAGGTCACCGTGAAGCAGCACACATAGGTTCCTAGCAGGGCTCTGCACGGACGGGCCTCGGGCCACAGGTGCAGGTGTTGGCACCGGCAGGTGATGCCGAGGACTGTGTTCTTGCGAAGGCTCTTTGTTCTCAGTCATTTTGGTGGGAGGTGCCCATGCCCATGGCCCCTGGGGGTTGTAAGTGGGATGAGTCGTTGGAGACGCCTTGATCAAAGGTAAACACTTTGTTCTTCAGCAACAAGATGGTTCTTTCCTTCCTACTTTGCTGAAAGCAGGACCAGTGGGCCAGAGCAAGCATCAAAGAAGGCCCAGGGACTTGGGAGTTTCTGGTCAGGCGGTTGGAACTAAGTGTTCTGAAGACACCAAAGATGAGATCAGACAGCAATGTATCTTTCCTCCTACTCATCTTAGCCCTTAGCACATGGCTTCTCAAACCCAGGGGACAGGCCCTCCTTCCAGACTCTATCCAGAAACCTTTTCAGCCTTATCCCACCTCCAGGCTGGAAGAGGCCTCAGGCAGGATGCACTCCTGCCTCCCACTCCTCTGACTTCAGTTTCTGCCAGCAGCGCTATGAGAGACAGGCACGGTTGCCTGCCCTTCACTCCTGTATTTACCGTAAGGAGTGCCAGGAAACGGGGAGCATTCAGACACATTTCTCACTCGAGGACAAGCAGGACCTCTGATTTTGCACCGCAGCCCAAGGACTGGGTCAGACAGACTCAGTGGTGCACCACAGGGGAGAACGGCTTGCTGGAGACGGCCCGGCAAGGGGGTCCTTGAGCAAGTGCCTGTCTTACAGGATCTGTAAGTTACTGAGCAGTCCTTCGAGGACAAGGGAGGCCCAAAGGGGAAACTGGAGAATACTGGAGGCTCTGGGAAGGGTGGACAGTCTCTTTGGGCCTAATGTGCCACTCATTACCGTAACTCTGCCAGCAGAAGGTATGGCGCGAGACGGGATCTGGCTCCTTTGCCTCCAGCTAGTCCTACGGCCAACTCTGGTGCCAGGCATCAAGATGGAGATCGCCATCAAGAACTTCCGCACCTTACACGTTGACTACCCCAGGATTAACTACCCGAAGGGTTTCCACGGGTACTGTAACGGGCTCATGGCCTATTTGAGGGGCAGAATGCAGGACTGGTATTGCCCTAAGATCCACTACGTGGTCCATGCCCCCTGGGAAGGCATCCAAAAGTTCTGCAGAAACAGCGAGAACTTCTGCGAGAACTACAATGAGTACTGCACGCTCACTCAGAACTCCTTCCCCATCACCGTCTGCACCCGGGGCTCTAAAAAGCCGCCAACCAGCTGTAGCTACAACAGCACCCTGACCAACCAGAGGCTGTACTTGCTGTGCTCCAGCAAGCAAAACGCTGTACCGATAGGCATCATTGGCCTCTACTAGGCTTGCCAAACAGTCCCACCTCCAACAGGCCTCTGCATGCCACCCCAAAGCCTGTTCCCGACTCCAGAGGCGGAGCCCCGCCCTCCTCCAGGCTCTTTGCACCTTCTCATCACCCCCACTATGAGCCTCCCTCGCCCAGCGACAGTAAAACCCACCCAAGAAGCCGCCGGCGTCCAGCTGGCAGAGTTTGTCCGTCTACTGGGCCAGATCCCAACTTCTGGATGGAGGCCCAGGCCCCAACTCATACCATAGCAACAAGCACCCAGTCCCAGTATTTCTCTCTATCCCTGTTTCTAGTGTCAGTCTCCCCAACTTCCCTTATAATTCCTGCCACTCCTGGGCAGAAGGAGCCTCCCGACAACCCTTAGGCTCACTTTATCTTCCAGTCCTCTCTCTCTGTGATCTTCCCATCCACTTTGTACAGCCTACCCTTCCCCACCCCCTCCCACCGTGGAGCCTAGTGTTGTCTCCTCTGCTCTTCCGACACTTGAGCACTGGTAGCCATGTTGTCTACCTTGTCCCAGCCTCTGTCTCCCATCTTCTCTCACCTTGGTCCACCAGTCTTCTCAAGTCATCTTTTCCATTCTTCCCAAAGCCTCTCCGTCCCCTTTCCCTGCCCTCTGCCCAACGTTTCCCAGACTCCGGGGTCTGTGCCACTCAGGTGTCAGATGAAGAGGCAGACCCAGTTTCCAGCCGTGGAAAAACCACTGGGGGAAATTGGGCACAAGGTTCATGAGCTCATTTCTGCGTTGCCTTCTTGTGAAGCTGTAATAATTTCCAAATAAAAAGTTAAAAAACACATTCAACTCCATTGTGATTTAATTCCCTCCCTGCCTTTGGTGTCACCACCTCTGGTCACCCTTCAGAACTGTTCTGTTGGCACAACATGGAGGTGAGGGCAAGTGAAGCCCTTCACTCTGTGAGTTCAAGGTTAGTCTTATCTACAGTTCCAGGCATCCAAGCCGGCTAAGGTCTCATAGTGAGACCCTGTCTCAAAAACCAGACCAACCAAACAAACAAAGAGAAAGATTCTCTCTTGCCCCAACCGGAAAAGAGATTTGTGAGTTGTAACAGTGCTAGGCTTCCCTTTCTGGTTTTTATCTATCTCCCAACAAAACCTGAATTCTAACAGATGAGCAAGTTGGGAGGTGCATTAAAGGCTCCTGGTGACTATCTGGGACATGGTATGTCAAACCACGACTCCCTTTGGGGAGGTGGAAGGAATGGGGGCCACTGATGTGTGAACACAGTAAGCGAATATTTTTTTTCCTGCATCTGATGGAACTCATCTCCAAACGTATCCCACAGTCCTGTTCTCAGGAGCGGTTGCCAAGGAGACTACTATATTATGGTTGGTATGCATGAGGTTTAGTGGGGAAGAGGGTCCATGGCCGAAAACCTTGGCTCCTTGGGCCTTATCTTTCCCATTTCTCTGTCTATGGACCAATCTGATCCTTGTACTCATGAGACAGAACTCACTAGCTGCTGCACACACAAAGTTTATTATTTCCTAGATTTCCTGGTGTTAGAAACACGGGGTCAGGAAACCAGCGGGCGAAGATGGCTCCTCTCTACTTGTTCTTTTGGTCATAGGTGCCAGCCCCCTTGTAGCCGCTCACATAGCCCGAGTTGTCTTTGGTCTCTTCCCGTCCCTCGATGCCCTTACCCTTACCACTCTCGTCAAAGCGCTCCTTGTGGGTTCCGGTGTACTTACTGGTGTCTGTCAGTCGGTCTACTCCACCCACCGTTGTTGCTTTCTGCAACAAGGGAAGGAGGGGGCGTCTGAGCCTTCTTCCTCTCCCTGTGTAGCGCAGCCCTTCCCCACACGGTCTTAGAGCCTTCAAGCACATGCTGGAGTGTGTGTCCTGCCTCTGGCACGGTGCTGCTTTCTGAGGCCCAGACACAGCTGTGGGCAGGAGCTCTGACAGAGCCATCTGCTCCTGAAACAGGAGGGTTCTCCGCCGGAAAGGACAGCGGATTTCTCTGATCCAGAGGAGTTATTCTGATCAGGCTAGAGGGCTTTAGTCCCAAGCCCTGTCCCCAGTGTGCAGAGCTAAAAGCACTATTTGTACAGAGGAAACAATTTAGGAAGAAGAGGGGTGAGAGGCGGGAGGTCTGAGGTTAAAATATGTAGGAGCAGGACTGGGGCAGCAGGCACCAAGTTCCCCCAATGCGAATGTGCCTCCAAAGTCACAGGATGCTGAGGTGTCTAGACCAGACATGAGACTGAGAGCATCTGAACACCACTAGTGAAGCAGCTATGCCGTGGCTAAGGGTGCAGCTGGAAGGGCCAGGGAGCCGGAGCTAGTCCGTCTTCCCACGCCACAGTTCCCCACTACCAGAATGACGACAACTGTCTACAGCCTCCCAGCAGAGGCTTTGCACTGTGCATCCTGAGCGACACTGCTGATGGGATTCGGGGCCTTGAATGGGAGCAGGGACCAGAGCAATGGAGTCTAGGGAACTGGGGCTCTGGGCTGGCGAGGAAGAATGCTACCATTAAGGGAGGTGTGGCAGCACACACCTGGAATCCTCACACTAGGAGGCTGAAGTATGAAGACCCTCAGTTCAAAACTAGCCTGGGTCACACGGCCATTTCCAGGCTAGTCTAAGCTAACAGTATGGCCCTGCTATAGAAAGACAGACAGACGGGGTGGGAGGGGGGAAGGAGGGAGGGAGGGAGGAAGACAAGACATAATGGAGACCATACTCACAGTGACACCAGAGGTGGTGGGGTCCTTGCCTTCCATGAGTTTGTAAACACCTTCCAAAGCCTCATCTACACTCTTCCCCTTGAACCGCTTTTGGCCCAGCTCCTTCATCGCCTCTTGGAACTGTTGGAAGTTGATGGTTCTGGCATTCTTGGCCCTGGCCAGTCAGATAGAAACCCAGTAACTGTGGAGTGAAGTCATTGCCTCCCAATGTCTACCTTTTGCTTAGGCATGGCCTCTTTATCCTGACAATGAATCTTGAGGACAGGGACCAGGACAGTGCCTGGTACCTGCCAGACACTCCTTATAAATCTCCCATCATCAGAACTGTGCTGTCTGGCTGGGCAGTGGTGGCGCAAGCCTTTAATCCCAGCACTCAGGAGGCAGAGGCAGGCAGATCTCTAAGTTCAAGGCTAGTCTGGTCTACAGAGTCAGTTCCAAGACAGCCAGGGCTACACAGAGAAACCCTGTCTCGAATAACAACAACAAAACCAAAACAGGACAACAAGAACCGTGCCGTGACCAACTATGTTTTCACTTCATCCCCACCTTTAGTCCCTTACTTCACTTTGCTGAACACGATGTCCACATCTGTGGAGGTCACCGCCTTGCCGTCCATGATGCCACAGTCTTTACAGAGTTTGGAGAAGTTCTTGTTGTTAATCTCAGTGCCGCTGCTGGATGAGTCTCCAAAGACAGCAAACCGCTGGAATGTTCTTTCTGCTTCTGAGGCCATGGCTGACTGCAGGTGGTGGTGGAGGCAGACAGTAGGGGAAGGGCCTGGGAGTGGGGGACGAGCACGGTGAACTCCAGCTACACCAGGAGCAATCATCTGCGTGCATTGGCAGCCCTCCCTCCCTCCCACTCCCGCATACCTGGGGGCCCGGATGGTGTCTGTGAGTGTGTGCAGCTATTGCGGGAGCCAGACGACCGGGAGAAGGCGTGGTAACAGGGAGACAGAAACGGGCAAGAACAGCAGAAAAGGACACTGTGATGTCACAGTGTTACATGACATCACGTCTGGTTCTGGCTTGGTTCCTCTGCTTTCTTCTCTTCTGGCATCAGAAGCAGAATCAGTTTCCTGCCTGAGAACAGTTGTCCAGCCACAGCATCGGAATGAACGAGAACCTCAGGCTGTGTAAGGACTGTGGAGTCCCGGATGGCAGGACATGGCCTTAAACTGAGCGAGCTGCCAGTCTGACCACACGCCCCCAATCACATCAGCCCAGTTTACTAATCTTAGGGTTCAGGCCTCACTAGGCCCTCACGTGGTAGAGCCCCCTTGGCCTGTAAAGGTACTGATCTAATTCCTGAAACCTTGCCACCAGCTCCACAAGTCCCACTTCTCAATACCATCACGTTGGGAGGCAAGATTTTAGCATGTACGTTACGGAGCGCCCCAAACACTGAAGCATCTGGGACTGAGGCGAACAGGCTGGCTGGAGTTAACACTGCCCTCCTGGCTGATCTCCCAAGTGAACTGACCAGCATGCAGAATCCCTCTGAGTGCAGAAAAACAACCCCAGCAGGGATTTTAAAGCACTTCTACTGTTGACAAGCAGAGGACCTGAAGTAGAAATCTGTACAAAAGCAGTGAGGAATGTGGTCGAGCTCTCCAGACCCCTAGATGAGCTTCTGGGCAATTCCAAATGTGCCTTAATGGTTTCTTTCTGGACAAACGTTCTATAAGAGATGAGATTCAGGGATCCCACTATAGAGATTGGTCACTTTCTTGTCTTAGATAATCAGGCCCTATCTTCCTAAAAATCCCTATTATTTCCTATAATTCCTATAAACAGTTTGTAATCTTATAAATTCATTGCTATTGGGGAGCGGGGTGGGTGGTGGTGACACACGTCTTTAATCCCAGACTTAGGAAGTAGAGGTAGACTAATCTCTGAGTTCAAAGCCAGTCTGGCCTATAAATAAACAAGCAAACAAATAAATAAATAATAAATTCATTTCTTTCCTTTGCTAGTCTTGCATCCTTATTCAAGTCTTTTTCAAATTCATTTTATGTGTATGGTTGTACTGCCAACATGTATGTCTCTGTACCATGTGTGGGTCATGCCCATGGAAGCCAGAAGAGGGTATCAGGAAGGCATCAGATCCCCTGTAACTAAGGTTACAGACAGTCAAGAGCTGCCATGTAGGTGCTGGGGATCAACCCCCCAGGACTCCTAGGTCCTTTGGAAGAGCAGTTAGGCCTTTTGACCACTAAGCTATCTCTCCAGATCCAAGTCTTTTTTACTTCACATCCTGAGAATTATGTGGGCCTCTTCTCTGAGACTTTTGAATGACCCCTTTTCCAAATTCAATGCTTTGCTCTTTTCTACTTCCCAAACTAGCTCTAGTACCCTTTTCCCATTAGTATAATGTTTTCCAAACAGGATATTCTATCCGCTATTCCTGTTCAAGAGCAGATTATGAGCCGTCTGTAATCATAGAACTCTGGAGGCTAAGTCAGGAGGATGAGTTCAAGGCCAGTCTTAGACACGTGGCTAGTGTGAGAATACCTGATACCCTGTCTCACAGAATGACTATGCTATGACTCAAGACTCAGGACTGGAGAGATGGCTCAGTGGTTAAGAACATACAATGCTCTTGCAGAGGACCTGAGTTTAATTCCTAGCACCCATACCAGGCAGCTAAGGATGCCTGTGATTCCAGCTCCAGTGGGACCTGATGCCAACATGGCCATTGCGTCCCCACATATACACTCACACTCAGACACAGAAATGAAAATAAAACATCTTTTCGAAAACGCATAATCTATGGTTCTTACTGCCAAATCTTTTTGCTTAGCATTCAAGGACACAACTTGGCCCCAGCCTAACTCACCAAGTGTCTTCTGCCTGTCACTAGCACTGCTTTTAGTCGGGGGCCCTTGTGGCATAATAGTTGGACACTCAAGAGGCTACCTGTTGGAAAGAGATAGCCCCTGGAGGGGAATGAGTCTGGTTCAAGTCCTAAGTGTGTTCCAGTTGGTGGCCATGGGCAGGTCATTAACATTTCTGGGCTTCAGTTTCCACATCTGTATGGTTAAGGACAGTAATGGAGCGCTGGGATCACACGTACTGCCTGCTCTGAAATTCTTCAGGGTCGCTCTTGCATTTCTGCCTATACTTTCTCTTCTGCTCTCTGCCTGAATAAAACGTCCTTTTCTCCCACTCAAATATCCCACTTCTCATGTGGATGGTCCCACCCTAGCAACAAAACCCCATTCTTCTGAGTTATAGAAACATGGCTTTTAGCCCGTGGGCTCCAGCCTCCTGGGATACAGAAGTACGGCTAGAGGCCCTGAAAGATTAAGAGTGAACACTAAATAATATGCTTTGCAAATGCATATATGACTGCAAAAAATTATTTTAAGTATTTCTTAATTTCTAATTTGCTCTTTCGTCATCACAGCTAAAATCATCCTGCGGAAATGGAGACACAGTAGGGGCTGCTGTGAGACTTGTTCTCTATACACTGATCTTATGGACTAGTTCCCCTAGCTTTTTCTGTATGTATGTGTTTCTTCAATCACTGGATCACAAGCTGACCGAAACACACCACTTTTCTGAATGTCATCTCTCTAGTGGTTTGCCTGCTACAAGTGCTGGAAGCTGTCAGGTAGCTGAAGGAATAGTTTGAAGCTGCTTTTGGCCCAGAGAAAGGAGGTTAGATACTATCCATGTGGGACCCTTGTACTCAGGTCTGTCTTACCTGCCCTGACAATAAAGAACTCGGGGGACAGAACAGAACCAGCCTTCTTTGTGTTATCAGGAGCTTCCTAGAGTCTAGGTCTAGCAAACAGCGAATCTCAGTGGAAATTTCCCACCTTCCGCCCTCCCCAAGCCCCTGTGTCTGCCCCTTATCAGGTTCCCCCTGAGTCATTCTGACCCAGAGACGAATTTAGATGCTGGAACCTTCCAGTCTATCCCTCCCCCTCTCCAGTACAGCTACTTTAGACACGTGAAAGAAGTCCTCAGGCTGAAGGGCTGAGTCCAGGTTCGTCACACAGGCTGTCGAGTCCTTTCTTATCTTACCCATCTGTAGCTGCGATCTTAATTAACACATTCTCTTCTCCAGGAGAACGTGAAACCTGCATGCAGGGGCTAGGCAGAAGGCTAGAGTACTGGGTTTCTGTGCCAGTTTCTAGGGCAATTCTTATGAAGGGGGCAGGAGAAAAGAGCAGATGAAAACTCGAGGTGCCATTCGGGGAATATAGGAAACTCTTTAGGTCTAGGGTGTTTTTTTTTTTTGAAGGCTCCGTTTGAGCCTATCCAGGTCTCCTCCTCCCTCTTGGCCTCTCCTTTCCAACAGACCTGCCAAGTGGGGATGAAAGAGGCATTGATGCTTCTTGGGGAGGGGGGTTGTGGGTGGTGAGGGTAATTCCCAGGCAGGGGGAGGGCAATTTGGGGGTCTTGGGGAGAGCAGTCTGCGCTGCTGTTGCCATTGGCAGCTCCAGTTCCATTGAACATTGTTTTCAACTGGCCTGGCGCCCAGCCCCCGAAATGGCAAGTCTGGAACTGGGCTGAAGGGGGATGGGGTAGGGTTGATCCTGGGAGCAGGGGTGCGAGAATGAGGACATGTGGGGAAACTCAATCTAGCTGACCAGCACAACTTTCAATCCCCACAGCCACATCAACCATTCCACTCTAGCAAGCCTTCCTTTGAAGAGCACAAGGAGGGTGTGTTTCAGATGTGAATCTTATGAAAGCCTTGGATAGGATGATAACCCCACCTAGGCATGAGGGTCGGCCCAGGAGCCAGTAGCTCAGGAGACATCTGCAACGGGGCACTGCCACTCAGCCTTTCTGAGCAGATCTCGCCCTCTTTTTCGGGGTTGGACTGGGAGGGGTTAGCGCCTCAGCCACAGGGTCTCTTGGGTCTCAGCCCAGGACACCGAGTCCTCCCCAAACCCTTACTCCACCCATGCAGGGTTGGCTCCGCCTCCGCGCCTGTTTACACAGGAGTCAGAGCCCTTGGGGGTCCCCAGCCCCTCCCCTACGCCCACTTCACCCCCCGCGTTGGGGCCTTGACCCGGGAGTCGCCGTTGGCCACCATATTTCCCCTCCTTCGTTCACCCTCTATTTATAGCGGCCCCCAGCATTTCCACCCCCCTTGCTTGTTGTCCAACTTCTCACACAGCGGCCAGAGAGCAGGCGACGGGACTCGGCTGAGGAGGTACCAGCACCCCATGCGCTCGGAATTCATGCGCCCTCGACGCCCTGTCCCCAGACACACTGGCACCACTGTCGCTACCTGCCCGGGGACCGGGTCTGAGCGGTGGCCCTCGCCCACCTCCCCCTTCCTTGACCTAGCTCTCTGCTTCCGGGCGGGCGGAGCTGAATTCGTGGGACTTGGGCACTTTGGGTTGGCCTCACCCTCTATTGTCGCCGCCACTCAATCTGGGGGTCTGGGAGAGAGCCAAAAGTAAGCCTGGCAGAGCCAGGTCACAGTAGGGGGCGCCGCTGAGGTGGGCGTGGGGTCATTTGGAGGCTTAAGGGGTCCCTGCGCACACCCACTTCACGCGGCTCGAGGTTGTGGGGAGCACCGGGAGGAGACCCTACGAGCATCCCCCACAGTGTGCTCCCTAGCTTTTCCCTCTCGCCCCTCCCTGAGCGGCCGGGGCGAGGTACCGGGGCGTGTTTATGGGGGTCGGGGCGGATCTGTAGGGAGATGGCCCAGGGGCGGACCCGGGGCGGGTCTGTGAGGAGCCGAAGCTAGGGCGGACCTAAGTCAAAGGCAAGTGAAGGTGGCAGCGACCGCGGCGGCTGGTGCAGGTAGGGGGAGGGGCAAGCGAGCCGCCGCTGGGCTGGGAAGGCGCCGGCCGGGAGGGTGGGCATTGTGGTCCTGGTGCCCGGGGCTGCGCTCCGGGGAAGGGACCGGCCTAGAGAGACTCTCCGCTGCTGCGCACAAAGGCGGAGGCTTTACAAAGTGCAGGACGTGTTTGGGGCGCTCTTGAGATGGTATCCAGGTCCCTGGGTGCTACGTGTCGACCGTGCGAGAGTGTTGGTCCGGACGAGAACCAGTCGCCAGGAACTCATAGGGCCAGGTTTCGGGTTCTGGGAGCGGCCAACCACAGGTCCTACCCATCCTTTCTCGGCTGGCACATGCAGTCGGGGAAGTCGAGAGGTTACGGAACCGCCCTATTCCCCCCTTGGCCTTCTCCACTAGACCTCCAGTTAGATTGGGTGGAGGAGAGAGATGAAGGCATGACTTGTTTGTTTTTAAATGGTGGAGGAAAACGTCATTCCGAACTACTTACATATCATCTGAGAGCTGTCCAAACTGAGTAGTAAGCGACCGGACAAGGTCACATGGTAGTGGCTGTAGGGTAGGACCCAAAGGTTCTGACACAGTCATGCTCTGTCGCCATGTCATCGCTCCCTTCTCTCCGTACCCTGCTTGTGTTGCCCCGCAGGCCCCTCCAGCTGGTATTGATTGGCACATAGAGAGGACGTGTTCTCTGGACTCAGTGGAGATTAGAAAGGGTTAGTGACCCTGGGATTCTGGGTCTTGGCTGTGGCGGTATGTCCCTAAAAGACCGAAGTCTGTCTCCCATGTCATTCACCTTCGTGTGTTTTCTCAGACCCCAGAGTCAGACTAAGAACCCTGACCTCTAGCCTCACCGCACCCAACCAATAGGAACTCAGTAAATGGACCCCACCCATCCCAAGCTCCAGGCTTCTTTCTTTGCAAGTCTATATAGGTGCTCTCCAGACCTTCCAGGGTTGATGTTCGCTCATTTACTTGTACTTGGAAGGGAAGAGTTTTGAGCCGCCAGGGAAAGTGGCATTGGTTGGATTGGATATCTGTGTCCTTAGTTGACCACATCCAGTCGGCCATTGCCTTAGTCATTTTTAGCCCCTCAAGATGCTGGCATTGGAGCTATAGTTGAAGGTCATAGTCAATTGTGAACTTTCACTATCCTATCCCTTGGTACACTTAGAGTGTGTCCAGTCAGTGAGCTACAGCACAGAGTGTGGGTGGCCCCTAAATATAGCTTAAGAAACGGGAACCACATTGCTTCCCCACCCTGGTGTTTCCCTGCAGGATAGGAGAAGGTGTTGTGGAATATTCAAGAGGGAG